ACATTTATATTTGTACATACATATGTACATGTACATATGTATATTTGGTTGTTAGTAATTACTTTTGTATGTATTTAGTTCATCAATTAAAATAATATACATAATAGGTAGGCCTGAATATTCACTTTGCTTGAGGTGAAAGGGAATTTCAGTTTTTTTTTAGTTTGAACAAATAATTGGTGGGAATTTAGACCGAAGATTTTTGAAGTTTGAGGCAAAAAATTGTTTGTTAAAAAAATATATATCAATAATTAAAGCTTTTTTTACTGCATAGTTGGATGAAGTGATACACATGTACATATATATGTAAAATTGACACTGTGTGGATACTGAAGCGAAATTGGACCGAGTTCTACCTCCAGTTTTTATGTGAGGATTGATGTTTTAACTTTGAATGGGCTATATTATATATATATAAGTGTATATATATAATTTCGAATGTCACTCACAATTAGAAAAATGCAGAGTATCACGCCTGCTAGCTATTAAGTTATAGCAGTCTCTTCTAAGATGGAAAAGCACTTGATTTAAGGGGCACACCTAGTGTTATGGCTTAAAAAAATAGGTGAATTTTGGGAATTTTTATTAAAAAAAAATTTATCAATTATTTCAAAATTTTAAGAACATATTTATACATGTTTCAAGAATATACAGTGAAATTTTTGAAGAAAAGAATTAAACATTTTTTAAGTTATAGTCGATTTTCAACGGTGCGAAAAAAGGTCCTTCACTGCTGCAGTGATTCCGGCCTTCTCTGTGGATGAAATCTAAAAAAATTCTATACTAGATAATATTGTCTGTACAATGATTTACGATAAAAAAATTCAAAAATTGACAATGTGGCGGCGTTTGAAAAAAAATTGTCGAATTTTACCCAAAATTTTGGTCGTTTTTGGCCTGGCAAAATTCGATTTTCGGATCAGATCAAAAATCTATAGGCCATTGTACGGACAACTATATATAGAACATGTAAAAAAATTCGATAGTGAACGGATCATTTGTTTTTGAGTAATCACTGCAGCAAATTCGGAAAATGCTCTTTCGAAAAAAACGCTTTTCAAGATAAAATGATCGTTTTCACTCGTAGCTAATGAGACTCTCTAGCTGCCGAGCGGCTATAACTCAAAAACTATTTGAGTTATCGATTTGTTCGAAATTTTAGTCTGTTATTTTTAAAGGTTTAATCTACGGAAATATGAAAAAAAGATCGATATTTTTGAAATTTCACACTAGGTGTGGCCCTTAATAAAATGAAATAAAAAAAATTAATAAATTTCGAATAAGACAACAATACCAGTTGCTGGTTTGGCCAAATTAAAAAAAAAAGCTTTCTCAGCGTACTCTTTAGAAAGAACAGAGAGAACATCGCCATGATGAAACTTTTTTTATTGTTTATGATTTTAAGAAACTCAATTGGCCTCGAATTATCAGTTGTATCTCTAAGAATACATATGCTTCCACTTCAAATTCAAGGAGCAGTTTGGAATTCATTTCTACAGTTTTATCCATAAACGATTCGTATCTTAATTATTTTTAATAACCCTTCACCTGAGGCAATTAATGGACTCAAATGGTTTTAATATACTTTAAGATATCGCCAAGCCTTGTCAAGTTTTCCTAAAAATTTTATTCCAACAACATCTTTTTTGAAAAAACCATATTTTAATAGTATTTCTGGTTTCACTGTTATGCCTGCATAATCGAAAAATTGGAGTACATTTTGATATGTTCAATTTCCCTTTGCTAGTACAAATGAATGAATTTTAGTTAAAAAAAAAACTACATACGTACATACATATATATTACATATGTATTTACATGCATGCACTTAATAAATATGCACTTAGAAATTATTCGGATGTCAAAAAAGGTCAACGCCATTGCCGCCGATGATCAGCAAAGCTGACTACTCGGAATACTTACATGTGTGTAGTATATACGTATGTAATATCTGTACATATGTACGGTAGATAAAACTTAAAATTATGAAATGTCTGCCTACTCTGACATACAATGGGAGTGTTGTTAATCAAACAACAACAAATTTACAACCACAGCATACGAAATCCAATTGCTTGCATGCACGCCCTAATACAGAGAGCTCCCACACAATTCCTTCATCGCACCACCATAGACATTGGTGTATGTAAGTATTGTACTATGTTTATATACATATATATTATATGTAGATATGTACATACATACATATGTACTTGGGATGCCCCACACTCACTACTTTGTTGACATTTTTTTTTATGATGTTATTTCGCTATTTGCCACAGTTTTCAATAGCCACATTCACTTTATACGAGTACTTGGTACTGACGCCACTCACTCACTCAGTATCCAAGCAGCTACCCAACAAAAGCACTACAGTGTTGTAGGGACTAACGATGCGGCAATTGTGTGTGAAAGTAAATGGGCGAAATGAAAATAAGAAGAAGAAAAATAAAAAAATAAAAAAAAATAATAATAATAAAAATAAAATTGAAGAAGTAAAAAATTAAAAAGTGTAATAACGTGAAGAGGTGTATCGACGCCGGTAGTCGCTCAGCTCGGCTGAAGAAGCAGAAACAAGGAAATTAAAATTAAATTCAATTGAACTAACTGGCAGAGAGTCAAGTGCAGGTGACCCACATTCACGAACTCTAGTCAATCGCTTCATTTCGCCAAATCCATGGGAAGGAGAGACAATGTGCTCTTAATATGTATGCATACACATAACTATACTTATGTCTGTACATCTCAAATAAAGAGTCGGTATCTTAACACCACTGAAGTAATTTATTGCCTTCGAGGATAGTTTAGTGGGAAACTCAAAATTAGAAATTTATATTTAGAAAATTTTGAATGTTTAACATAAAAATATGTGTAGGTCTGCACTCGTCTTGTTAATTGCCGAAGACAGCACTGAAATAATTTTAACCGAAAGGTGGTGATGAAACTTCTACATTTGAACTTTATGAATGATTTGAGGATAATCTCGCCTTATGCAATATTTTCTCTAGCAAATGTTCTCACGAAAATACTCTCCACACGCACCAGGATTTGAGCCCGGACCTTCCGAAAGGACAGTACGCAATGCCGTCCACTCGGCTACCGCGGCCACTAAGGGAGCTTTTGGTCGCTCCATTTGGGAAAATATCAAAGGGGGACACGACAAATTGGAAGGGGATCTCTGCTGATTACAAAGCACCAATTCTATTGCATAAAAAAATTGTGCCGTTTTTACACCGATCGGAATAAGCCCTGTACCCCAACTCTCAAGACAGCCGGTTCTACGTATCGGAGTTGACCCGGATTTTATCCGGCCAAGGGCTGTCATCCTTTCGGCGACCTAACCCCGTTAAGGTCAACAGGTAACGTTAGTTTAAGTTCGCCAACGGAGCAAAACCTTGCAACTGGGTTGCTCCAAATCCTTATTATCAGGGTTGGTGTCGAAACCAACCATGGTCCGACGGACTAATTCTGCAGCGTATGTTATAAGACCCACCACACCTCCAACTCGGTTATGTGTAACTAGTGCCATGGTTGGAATCACCTTAAGACCTGCTCAGGCCTTAAGACCCACAGGGAGTGGACCACTAGTTATGTGGTCCCATGCTGCCAGCGACCTCGGCGACTTAGATTAATCAAACCTGTGCCTAAGCGGGGTTAGTGAACCGCTACAACAACAACAACAACAGCCCTGTACGCTTTTTAAACCGGTTAGACTTCTGGAGGTGGGTTTTAGGATGGGTGCAATCACATGTAAATCATTGTGTTAACAGAGAAAGTACAATATGGAAATTATTATTACAGGCTATTTTTAACGGTACTGTAAAATGTACATTTCATGTATGTGTGTGCAGTAAAAGTATGTATACATGTGTACACATTGTAAGCCACACAATCTCTTTTCAATCATAATAAATCGCTATTAACGCTGTGTGAATAATTAATTATGTTTCAAGTAAAATGAAAGTTATTAAGTCAGTTTTCTTGGCTTTATATTAAGCTTTAGGGTAACCAATTGATTTACCTCATAAGACAAGAGTAACCACATTTACGAAAATACATACTTAAAACAATTGAGAAGTTACAAGTGTATATGAACATACATATATACATATGTATGTATATACATACGTACAAATAAAGTTTTTATAATAAAGAATTGAGTTCCTAAGAATGCCCTTTATGGCAGTAATCAAATATTATTATTACATTTATTAAATAGAAATTATTATATAAGAACAGCTGAAAGATATCAAATTTGATAAAAAAAATTGCACGCCTATATGCACATGTGTATGTATGTACATATGTATGTATGCTCACAAAGCCACAGCCCCTTAGCGCAGAGTGTAAAAAAATATACATAAAACAGTTAATCAAATCGTCCATTAAGCATTAAAATGCACTTGATTACTTTCTTCAATGAACACACTGAGTATGCCATTGAGTATTGAAACAATGCAACTAACGGTAAAGTGTGTAAGTGAGCTCAATGTATAGCTCAAAAGCATTAAGAAGAATGTACATATATGGGTGGGGAAGGAACCTATTAAATAGTACATATAGCGATAAGGCGAATGAATGACGTATGACAACAGAGACAACAACAATATGTACGACATTAGCGGTGATATCATACTTCGAATTTTCGAAAACCAAATCGGTTTCAACATCCACTCACACGACTGTAGAATCAGAATGCGTGCAAACCATGATGAATGGCGCTAAGAAAATAAAACAGGGAGTGGGCATGGTTTGGTTGTGTGTGCATGCAAGAGAGCCATATCATTGTGTACGTAAATATCAGAGAGAGAGATTACTCTCTACCACCTGAGATCACCATCAAAAATGTAAAAAAAAAAGTACGAATTCATAATCCGACCACTGAAATATAAAACCTTTTTATTCTCTATTTATTTAGGTATTTAGCATGTTACTAAATATTTCCAAGCTTTATTTATTTACTGTCACAAATTTCCTTGCACCAATTCGCACACACTTACCCATCTTTCTCAATTCGCTGCTCCCTTATCCGGCACTCAAATACACGTTCTCTACTCCGTCTGGTACAATATTCACTAAACAGTATGTTGTTTTTGTTATTTTCTATTGTTGTTGCACCACTGTTTTGGGTTTTTCGAAAAAGCACCACACCAAATATATTTATGTGTGTATTTGTGTGCGCCTCACGTTTCGGAACACAGCACACTCAACACGGCAAAAATTGGACAATTTCTTTAACCACTACTCCGTAGCCGACAGCACACACACAAGCGCACCAACATGTAAGTACGATTATCGACTAACCAATCGACCAATTGACCGATTCCAATTGGATTCTTTCTTATCCTTGGCTCTTCTTTCAATTGCAACACTTGCTGTTTTTTTTAATTCAATGCTATTTTCTATATTCTGCACTCTCGGCTCTTTTCCAATGCATTAATTTTGCTTAATTTTCTGTTATATCTTTACTACAACCCAGACTGTTTCCAACTTGTATCCGCTCTCTTTATATTTTACTTCAACTATTTCAATATACATATACTAATCCAGCGAAAGAACAACTGGACATAACTTTTGCAAATACAAATACACCGTGAACAAATTTAATTTACACCGCTATTGATTACCAGACAAGAAAAAACACAGAAGCTTTTATTGCATATCAACCTTTTATTACTAATTTTAAGAGGAAGTGATACCCCGTAGAGACGAAACCACTAAATTTGATTTTCCTTATTTTTTGCGCACCAAAAAAATTAACCACCACAAGCCCGCTGCTAGCACTAAATTGTCGAATAATCTGCCACAATTTTCGGATGAAGACTATTCGATTGCTCCGTGTTGTCGAGTGAAAAAAACAATCTGTCAATGGTTGCACAACACTGACATTCGGGCAGAGAATGAAATGAGGCTGAAACAGGGTGCTATTTGAACGGAAGGTAGGGCGATTCGGGTGCGTAAAATAAATTTGCGTAAATACTTGTGTTTCAGCAGAATATTTAACCACTTAAATTTCGTTAAAAAAGTAGATATACTGAAAAAACGTTAAATGCAATACTTAATTATAAAATTATTTTAGTTATTCGAATTTTTTATTTAAAAAAAAACTGCGTTATAATGTTCAAACTTACGGTTTGTAGAATCCGATGTACTTTTTCATGGTGCTATCTACAAAAGTACTAGTTGAATTAGTATTTAAAACATTCAGAAAAATCCAATTGGAAAATCAACAGCCGCCAAAGCCAGTCATTAAGTCAAAAATATTCAAACTTACTGTTGGTGTATAAAAATTCCGAACTAGTTTTTGGAATTGTTATTGTTGTTTCGAAACTGGTATTAAATGCAAATTGATCTTCGACTTTTTTTTAATCCATCTTAATAATAGTATATTTGTGTGAAATGGGCATAAGTTCCTTTTAAATAACATTACCAACAAAAATTATAATATATGTATGTATGTAGTAATAATCCATTTATAATTCCAAAAAAAATCGTAAACAACTATAAATATTATTTTCTCATACATCATTCATCATCATATACCTCATTTTTTCTTTACTATTTAAATCATTATTGTAGATGTACATTTTTTAAAATTGTTTCAATATAAATGTATTTTAAGGTTTTTTCTCTTTTTTTTTTTTGATTGCGGACAATTACTGGTAAAATTGGCTCGACAAATGCCGTTGGCCAGCAAAAAGAAACTCGTTATTACAATAAAATATTTTCTAGTTCAAGAATTACATATTTTACATTCATTTGTTTTTGTAAATAATACATATTATTATTAATTATTAAATTTATTTTAATTTGAATTTATTTCCTTTTTATTTGATTTACTTGAGACTCAACGTATCCATGTATGTATGTATATTTGCAGTTCAATGTCAGTGAATCGTTGACATTTTCTTTAGACAATATTTTAAGTAGCACATATTTTAGTGAGACGCTATAGTTATTGTTGTTTTTTAAAACCCATATCCGCTTTGTCTTTTGACTATTGTTTTTATTACATACAATTTTAAACTTTATTTATTTCTTATTACACACCTGCCATTGGGTGTGGTACTCTTTTTAAACATAAAGTTCTTTAATGTCCTTATGTTTCGTTTTCCTCCATTGTATATTTTTAGTCCTTTAACTAAAATCAACAATTAATGTTGAATTGGAAACGGATATGATTTTTTTTTATTAAATTATGTTATATTCCTTGTTTTATATTTATGTATGGATGTATAAGTTTGCATTGTACGAACCTACGAATACGTAAGTTCTTTTTACAATAACCATTAACTACGTAAAGTATGTTTTGAATCAATTTAACGGCATGTATGTAAGTTTGTTTGTTTCTAGGTATCCATACTTTTAGTTAATTATCATAATTTGTATATATTTATATATGTATTCAGTTAATGTTTTGGGATTTTCACTTAATAATCAAGTTTACACTACCACTTTATTCCATGTCCATTACATGTGGCTCAATGTTACCGTCGAGGAAGCTGCCCCCAATTCGAAGAACTGCAACCAGTTTGTGCTCGTGCCTATTCTTCATCGGAATCACCCTCGCTAGAGTAGCCGGTTTGTTGCGGCCTTCCAACAAAAGGCGCCGTTATGACTTGACTGCAAAATGGGAATTTCAAAATATATGTATGTAGATTACAAATTATTATTGAATTGAGCAATTTCATTTTTGATATATTAACACTTACGCGATTCTTCGATAGTGATTCAGCCATTCCTCCAACATTTGTGCGACCAATAGCGGTCGTTTTCGCAGTTTTTGCTGTGCAACCAATAAGCCACCATCTGTAACGCATACATCAAGCCATTGTCTCATTATAGCCTCTTCGCGACCCATCTGGCAAATATAATCAAATATAATAACTTTAGATAACACTAGTAATTTAGCAGAGACATAAGCTGAAAAATACCTCAGCCTGAGTTAAGAAGTGTATAGGCAAAAGTTTTGATTCACAATCCATCAACGGCAGATATCGCACATCCTCTGGCTCTTCACGACGTGGATCGATACGTGCAAATGGTTCCATGGGCACTAAAGCACTGAAGTGACCACGTGTATAACCGAGCGCAATAGGTGATTTTATGCAGAAATTTTGGTCCCAAAATAAAGGCAAGTACAGACCTATATTTTTTGTTTTTGGTAGAAATTTATACACTTAAATATTATTAAAATCTATCAATCTTCATAAATAATAATAACTGTTTTTTCAACGATAATTCGATGAAATAGCTAAAAAAAAAAAGTTCAAGAATGGCCAAATACAAAAGAGGAAAAGTTGTGAAAGTAATAATTAGAGTGCTAATAAGTCCATTATATACTCGCAACGAAATTCTCTTAATGAGGATCAACCAAGCGTCCTACGTGCTTATATGTATATATGCCATCTATTGATACTGTAAAGGACAGTTTCCTTGGTAATAGTGTTATTAATAGTGTGTACCTTCAAACCTCGCGTAGCCAATATCTTCACCACGAAAACTTTTTACATATTTTACACCGTAAACGATTATTGGTCGACGCAGTATATGAGCTAAAGCAAATATATGCAACTGTTCCAGCGACGAGCCCGGTTGACTGGCTAACGTTAGCAAGTTACTCCAATCGTCCTGCCATTGGGCATCTTCAAGTGTAAAGTGCAACATTGAAGCCTGCCATTTTTCGTACTCTTTCCAACGTGGATAAAAACTAAAACAAAAATTTAGATACAATTAACCACTTCACACTGGAAATGCGTAATTTGTAAGTTACATGGGACCACATTGATGTAAAGTGTCTGCTAAGGCTCGACGCAGTGTATTATCACGATCAAATACACCCCAAGTGGCTTGCATTGCCGAGTCTAGCAGACAATCGCCAGCGCTACGATTCCACAACACCAATAAGCGCGAACCCAAACGAGCTGTGATTTCCAAAGACCAATTCAGTGCAGGTGGTGGATTTTCCAGTTGCTTTTGTGCATCACGATCTAACAGTTCGTCATACAGTTGTTCTTGTATCTGAATTGGCAACTCTTCTATTTCAGCTGGTAAAGCAAATGTAGCATGTTCTTGCACATACAAACAATTGAAGGAAGTCTTACGCATACGCAACGTATTAGCAAAATGCCTTCGTATATCTGCAGCTAAATCTGGTGCAACATAGGAAGGTACTCGCTTTATGCCAGGCCCAGAGCCGGAGATCTGTGCAAGTAACATGGGTAACATTTCTTCACGATGAAAACGTATTGCTAGATGTATAAGCGTATGACCGACATCAAACGCTGAGTTACGATTTAAGATTGCGATTTCAGTCGCCGTTAAAGCACGAGCAGGATTACCGCCGCAAGACAAATACGCCTCTACAGCGCTATAGTTATTTTCCACAACACCTTGAATACGAAAATATAAAGAAATAGTATTCGTTTCCAATTTTGTATTAGGGTTCATAAATCTTACCAAGACAAGCATTTAACCACTGCCAGTCAACCTGTCGTCTTATTTGTCGTTGACGCCGTTCTTGACGCTCTTGTACCGTATCACAGTTGTTTATAGTCTCAGAAGAACCTGTATTATATGTAAGTGTGGTAAGAAAGTGTTTGAATTGGTTTTAAACCAATTACAGAATCATTTTACCTAGTTGGTAAATGTGTTTCTTGTTGAATGAATTATTCGTTGACACAGTCATGTCATGATTTTCATCCTTTATATTAAGGAATTTATTACTGCCCGAGTTTGATGTAGCAGTAACGGCGTTGTTGTCGCCCAAAGAAGCTATACAAGTTGCATTTCCATCACGGGGTTCTCCGCACATGGAACATTTAAGACTTTTTGGCCAGTTTTCATAAGTACACGTCTAAAAGTAACATATGAGTTTACAAGAAATATCTACAAAGTGTTGCTTGGTTGAATATCTTACATTACAGGCCCATTTGGCAACATAACAGTTTTGCAGAGATGTGGACGATTGATTGTGCTGTTGTTGCTGGTTCTGGTGCTGCGAAGTATTTGCAAGATTATTTAGATGAGTTGTATTAATGGTTGTGTTAGTGGTTGCAGCAACCATATTGGTATTGGACGACTGTTCAAATGGGTTTAGTCTACTTGAAGCGGCGCCAACAGATTGAATATAGCTATTACTCGGTTTTTTATGAATTTGTTCTGGGTGACCACTTGCTTCACATCTATTTGATTCTGCTAAATTACTAGCATTCAATTCCATATCATTAGTGATACGTAAAACTTTCAATTGATCTTTAAGATTGTTCGATGAATTCGCCGATGCTGTTGACATATGAACTATAGCCGGCGTTTCGCTTCTATCTTCATTCTTTGCTTTTTTCTCCATATAATTTTGTGTACCATCAATTGTATCTAAGTTTTCTGTTGCTGTCAATGAAGCTGCGGCAGCTTCCTCTGCATTGCAAATATGTAGATCAACGTTAATATCAGTAACAGCAGTTCCTCGCTTAGTGCAGCATTGTACACAACGTAAACTGCGTGGCCAATTTAAATAGGTGCACATCTTGCAGGCCCATTTAGCGCAAGCAGATGGAGATGCTGAGGCGGGTGTTGTAGCGGGTACATCTTGTCGGGATTGTGAAAAGCAAGCATTAAGGCTCGAAGCTTCAACAACATCAGCTGTGGCACCACGCTCCTCATCACCATCGAATGCAGTTTGCGGTGGACTCAATCTGAAAGTATTGTGTTTTTAGCATGTTATTTCTCATAACAGTCCTCTTACATCACTTACCGAAAGATGTCCTCATTCAAAAGTGGTTTCGCACCCTTGCACATGGTGCATTTCAGTGACGAGGGAAAATTTTCATAGGTGCAATAGTCACATATCCACTTTTGTACTTTACTGGCATCTGAATCGCACATTTCTTTAGCCGGAACAACAGTACCTTCGGAGCTTCAAAAAACTCAAAAGCTAACTGCGTTTTAAGGTTTGTCTGACAAAACCACAGTTCACAGTACAGCACAGAAAACTCCTTGAAGGTCAGCTTATGATATTAGATTTCAAGGTAACTTGTTGTATTATTCAATTCATATAATACCTTGAAAAATCCAATAAGAATATAATTTGCAACTTTAAAAATAAATGTACTTTGAACACTGCAACCGTTGGCATATGTATTAAAAATACCAATTAATATTGTTTCTTCACACTTCTTCTGGATAACTGTATGATGGAGGACACTGAAGACGTAAACGTGTTTATCGGCCAAGGGCAGAAATAGGTGTAGGTACATTAATCAAGGATGCAAGCAGCGTCAAGATAAAACAAAAACAAAAACGAATAGGATTAATTAAATATAGACAACGCCAATTGGATATGTCCTTGACACTCAGAGTACTCTATCAATAGTTATAAATATAAAATGAATTGTAGTCATATATCTATAATTTTGTAGATATTCGTGATTATAAATTTACATTTTTCTGAGAACAATAACGTTATTCCAAATTCCAATAGCGGAATAAGTAGGAACAGAAAAAAAAGAACTAGCAAATTAATATATTACACCAATAACACACGAATTTTACACGCGTCGCCAATTTCTAATTGCAATATTTAATTGGAGTCAAACAAAGAAATACGAAACGCTAATTGTTCAGCGACCAAACTTTCACTGCATCACCAATATTGTGGGAAAAATTACATGAAAAGCATTAAAACATAATCACCTCCCGCCCCTTTTGGTTATACGAAGAATTGCAGGCTAAACACGCATCCACACTTTAAAACGACGTGCCGCACAATTTATTTATCAACTTTGAATTTTATTATTTCATGATATTCATTTGTGTTTTCTATTTTTTGGAATTTTTGCAGAATTACAACAAATATAAAAATTGTTAAACGACTGGGGCAAATGAAAATGGACCACAAATTTGTTACGTCAATATTTTGACAGCTTCAATGCGTTTGCGGATCAAAGCTATTGTAATGCGTTCGAAAATGTTTGGGATAATTAGTTAAAATACAGTATCTTAATTAAAAAACAAGTTTAATGCATATTGTAGTTGAAATAAATTGAAATAATTTCAAGATTTTTCCTTGCATTTCATGAATTCCAAATCCCGAGTACTCAGTATTGAGTGAGTATAATGGCTTAATTTTAAGCATCACAGATTCGATTTAAAGTTCTACGGTATTGGAGTTTCACTTAGTTCGTTTGATTATATTTTTTATTACAGCAGTTGCGCCATATACTGCTTATTGTGCAAAAGAGTGAAGCGAAACGGTTCCAGTACTGAACGAGGGAAGCATCGACTTAATATACGTGTAAAAAATTAAAAATTTTAAGTGTTTCTTAATTTGTATCCGATTGGATATGATAGGGTTGCTTATTGTACCAATATTTTATCCAGCTGCGCATACAAAAGGAATGCAACATTGGCCGCCGAAAATAAAAAAAAATTTACACAAAACGCAGCGGAAAATGGAAAAGGTGTTATAAGAGAAACGAAGAGAAACAAAGAAAGTGATTGAAGATCGGATGTGATTTTAGTGGGTAAACAAAATAAATAACTATTGTTCATAATCTGCATAACAATAAAACGGAATATAATCAATTTGCCTTGTTAATAAACAAATAAAAACAAATTTTCGAATAATTTATAAAAGAAAATATAATATTTCTGCTTAATACACAAACGAAAACTGTGGATTTGTCGATAAAGAATTCTTGGGGGGTAAGTAATGATTCATTTTACTCACTCATAAATTACATACCCGTATGAATAAGTATATAGAATATGCATATGGTTATATTCCAAACCGCTTTGTTTATTGCCTTTGTTTGTAGTTTTTTGCTTTCGAGACGGATTCAGGTTTATGAGGTTTTAAAAATGCGATTGCGTAGTTCTGCTACAGTTATGTATGTATATCCGTATGCATACATATATATCTGTTACATACACACAAATATATGCACAATATACAAATTAATATATAAACATGCACACTTTGGTGTTGTTGAAGTTGCATGCATGTAAAAATAGATGCGGACGGAGAAAATAAAAATAACAGAAAAGAACCTAATCAAGTTCGTGGCCAAAGTTTTTAGTTTCTATAGGCGGCATTAACATTATAGATAACAAATAAAAAATCACTAACAATAAAAAATAATCAAATAGAAAAGAATAACATTAATGTTACTAACAACAATGCAATAAATGTTAACTGCAAATTCATCATGTTTATATATTTTTCCAGATACATCAAGCGCAAAACACTTAAATACGCACATACATACATACTTACATCTGAAACATCTTCTGCCTATTGGGGTGGAGAAAGTTTGGACAAGTGTTGAAGTTACTTGCATACTCGTACATACATATATCGTCAGGAGCAGGTTGTAGGCAACGCTTGCAACGTATGAACATACATGGATAGGGCGGGATCTCATAATACCGACGATCTTGAGCGTATATGTAAGTGTCTATGAATTAATCAAGCCACTCTTGCCAATCCAACGAAAGCCATGAGTATACGCACGCGGGCACTAGTCTTTTCAACCTTTTTCGGAAGTTGCATCGCAATCGGTCTTCTCTTGGTCAGCTTAACTACAAACCATTGGGTACGCGCCTACCCGAAACGCTTAAACTCAACAGTGAGTAAAGTATTAATTTAATTATAACCAAATATTTTATGTACGTAATTGTCTAATTTTTATTTGCTTTCAGGATTCGAAGGGAGATATAAATTTTGGTTTGTTTTACGGTAATAAAGATCTAAACTATGGATTTGGAGTGAGATCGTCACCTATAATTGGCAAGTAGCAGCAGTACAATTTATTTCAATACAGATATGGACATTCGCACTAATCCATATTTTTTTTTTAATTTAAATTTAGTTTACACGTTTGATCAAAATGGCCCTGAAACAATGAACTTTTGGTTATGGCTCATAACTGCTCTAGGCACAGGTTTTGGTCTGCTAAGTAGTGCAATTTCCGCCGTTGCTGCTGTATTAAAATCTGCATCGGCAGCAAAACGTCCAGGAACTATGGTACTACTATTCGCTTCTAACATCTCGTCGGCCGCAGCACAGGTGACCGCCTTTATTTGCTGGCTTTTTCAGTTCTATCAATATTTACAGCACAACGTGCTTGCTGTGCAGGATCGTAATTGGTATAGTCATGGTTTAGCCTTTTTGGGTTATAGTTTCTATTTGGTAATTGCCTCTACACTTGTTGTTATATTAAATATTTTCATATTATTACACGCCAAACGTTGTGAGCAACGTGATCGCCAAAGACTTGAGCCACCTAGCGAGAAGAAGAATCAAGGCGCCATAATGTTATACTAACAGCGTATGCTTCTTACTCACGTACATGTAAAATGGACTCATGTGAAATTCGATAGTCGCTAGCGTGGCTATAGAGCACATGACCCAGAGCATTCCTTATACTCATTATGATATAATAAAATCTATAGAAAGGAGTTATTTTTAATTCATATTTATGTACCTACATTTATATATATGCATTACGGATAGCATTTCATTTAATGTAATGAATTGCCTACTTCAATATCTCGTTTAATTTTTATCTCGAATTTCTTCCGAATCTACTTTTGTCTATTTAGTATACAAAATTTCTTAAAGGTGAAATAAATATAATAATTTTTATAAAATATAATTTTTTTTAATAAATTATTTCGAAAAGAGGTATGTTAATACAAAAGTAAGATCAACATAATATCGTGTTGTCTGTTCAAGCGTATATTTTGTAGAGACCACAGGATATAAGTTTACCAAAGAATATAACGAAACTATTAAAAACGTGGAAACTAATCAATAAAGAAGAATCATATCGTCGGGTACCTCTCATCTGCAGGTTGTTAAGACTATTAGGTCTCGCTGCTTTCGTCTTTCACTTACCACCTGAGCCCAGCAGTACGCCAGCATGGTTTTCGCAGACTGCACAGCTCCACAATCGCGTTTAATGCTATAAATACCCAAATAATCCATTACCTTAGCCAAAATCAAACATATGAGCGCAGCAAACTGGCAAGGGTTTATGCAGGTATAACTACTTAAGCTTCTCTACCTTCTAATAAGGAACTGCTGTTCTTAGTTCCTAGCCCCATCTCCTAACTTGGAATTTACATACCAATGTTTTTTTTTATTAAGAAGGACCTACGGCTACTGTAAAACGGCAACTTTCCTTTAAAATTTCGAATCAACCGAGTATACGTACATATGTCCAAGCAAGCAGCAAGGTTGGTGTTGTTGTAGCGGATTGCTCAACCCAACTAGGAGTAGTAAAGTTAGTCTATTATGTTTATTATGTCGGGGTCCTCTGCGGGGGTACAGGAAATGAGGTGTTTGATGGGTTGCGACAGGAGGAAGAGGGGGGTGCAAAATGAATAGGTTTTAGTGAACATGCAAAAAGTTGGTTAGGGTTGTGCGTGAGCTCATTACATGCAGGACATACGTTAAGTTTAGAAGCGTTGGAGTTGAGTCTACTACAGTGCCCAGGCCTAAATTGTGCCAGCAGGGCTTCTGTCAACGAGTCTAGTGTGGAGCTGCTTGGTTTCCAATTTTTTTTAAACTATTTTTTATGGTCTTTTTTTTATTAAGAAAAGTCACACTCACAAACATGTTACAACTTCACCATGGCTTAGTAATTTATGGGGTAAAAACCATGCTTAAAAAAACTAATTAAACAATTTTTCATCGCCTTATTAATCACTACAAAAAGTATTAAACATTATTCATAATATTCAAGTCGATACGAATTAGAGTTTCGAGAATATATAGCCTTGGAAAGGTGTGCACTCGAATGCAGATAAGTTAAGCGCTTGAAGCTTTAAATGCGTTATTCTCGAAATTGTCTTTTCTTTTTTTTCACTTCAAATGATACCGTCATGAGTTGTGCTGTCAACACCGACGAACCTTTTTCCGAGGACCTACCGGAAGTGACGTCAGAATGGCAGAGCTCTGAATATTTTCCTTTGACAAATTCACATATATATGAATTTAAGGCCCGTTTTCACAATGTCCGATTAACTTAACCTTTAAATGGAGGTTAGCTAACCGTCAGCAAAATTGTGCAACACTCTACAGGCAACAATGATGTTCATAGTTTTGCTGAGTGAAACTCTCAACCCATAGCTACTCGATATGCAATTTCGAATACGGGTTTGGTATTAATTGTAAAGACCATCAGCGCGAAGATTGGGACGTTAAAGTTGACTCATTATGTAGTTGCTGATAAACCACAACTACTACTACCCAATTAAAATAAGTCCCTTAATTTGTTTTGCTCAAACCGGTGGTACAGGCAGCTATTAATAAAAATAATGCTATGATGTCTAGAACTAGGTCACCTGCATACAAAAGTCCATTACTTCCATTTTACAAGTACCCTTTTCTGCTTCGAAAGCTTTCGACATTTTCTTCTCCAGATGATTGGATTCTAACATGAGTGCCATCTAAACACCCCAACACCTTTGGAAACTTCGATATTCGGTTAAATGTGCGCATTGTGTTCCCTGCTTCTTTCGGTATTCTGAGGAATGATTGAACAATTGCCGCGGTAGCAACGGATATTCAATTTATTACTTTACATTTTCCAGCTGCCAAATTAAATTTCGGTTAAGAGCTAATCGCCACTCAATGTTGGCCCTAAATTAACCTCAACCTAATTGACAGATACGCCTTAATCGGAGATGGTGAATAAAATATTGGTCAAGTAAAAAGTTCGTTCGGTTTTTATCTAAGAGATGGCTGTTATTGTCCATAATACTAGTGTTACGTGTCGCATCATGTAATACTTTACGTCGCTGAAAACGTGCATATTCGCGCTAAAAGTTTGTCTTTGACAATTTTTCGATTGGTTGACTCAGTACGTTGTGAGCGCTCGTCAAAGATAAAATTCGCTATATTTTAAAATTTTTCTTCGAACAAGGCGAAAAATAAGCCAAGGCGGCTGAAAAATTATTTCAGTTTATAGCCCCGATACTGTACATGAACGTGTAGCACAAAAGTGGTTTGCTAGGTTCCGCTCCGGTAATTTCGATGTCAAAGATGCACCACACGTTTGGGAGGTCTGTCGTCGAAAACTGCGATAAAATCATGGACAAAGTGGAAATAGACCGTCACGTGAGCACTTATTTAATTGCTGAGGAACTAAAGATAAGCCAGAAAACCGTTTGTAACTAGTTGCAAAACCTTGGATTCAAAAAGAAGCTCGATGTTTGGATGCCACACGAACTAACGCAAAAAAACATGATGTACGGAATTTCTATCGGCGAATTGCAGCGGTGTCGCAACAAAATCGACCCATTTCTGAAGCGGATTGTGACTGACGATGAAAAATGGTTCGCTTACGACAACAACGAGTGCAAACGGTAATGGTAAAAGCTCGGGGAAGCGGCCCAGACGGTGGCCAAGACCGGATTGACAGCCAGGAAGGTTCTGCTGTGTGTTTGGTTGGATTGGCAATAAATAATCGCCTACGAGCTGCTCCCCTATGGCCAAACAATTCATTTGGCCCTCTACTGCCAACAAATGGACCGCTTCAAGGCAGCACTCATCCAGAAGAGGTCATCTTTGATCAAAAGAAGCCGAATGGTGTTTCATTAGGACAACATCAGGCCACACACGTCTTTGGTGGCGCGCCAGAAGCTCCAGGAGCTCGGATGGGAGGTCCTAATGCACACACCTTATAGTCTGGACCTGGCAACAAGTGATTACCATCTTTTTCTGTACATGGCGAATGCGCTCAATGGTTAGAAGTTGGTCTCAAGAGAGATCTGTGAAAATTGGCTCTCCGAGATTTTTTGCCAATTTTTTACGATAAATAAAAACTAAGATTTATTATTAATTTTAACTTTTATGTATTAATCTTGTTTTTTGAAAACACTGCTGAATCGTAAAGGACCTATAGAAATAGGGCTCTATTTATATAGAAAACTTCCTGGTATTGCATTTTCATTTTGAAAAATATAAATAAAAAATAATGAATATTTTCAATCCCTAAAAAGTTCATTATTCAATGTATTATCGACTACTTTTTCCTATCTCTCTGATAATATTCAAATACTTTCTATAAAAAATAAGTTTTGTGTCTTCAATCCAATCTTTGATCTCCTAAATGGTTTTGCATCCGTCGAAAAAGCCAATAGACGCAAGGCCCGTAGAATACAGCCTGTCGGGTAAGACCTCCCATTTCAACGCTTGCAGGTAGTTAATCTGACCATTAGAGCCTCATTTTGGAAAATCACCTAGTCACGCTTTTGATCTATTTTGGTCCTTTTTCACGCTATGAACGACTCAAATCCATTATTTTTAGTCGATAACGCTTCACATCAATTGTTTCCGTGAATCATCACTTTTTAAGCGTCGATAATATTCTCTGCATGACTTATTAGTCAGCTCAGATTCATCATAAACTTCCGCAAGTTTTCTTTTAACTGAAATGGAAAGTTCATTCCATTGATAGGTAATCGCCTCCAATATAAGTTACAACTTGCAGACAGAGCGTGCGCCAACGACTCCATTCTATATACATATATATTATATATGAGTTCTTTACAACCCATGAGTGCCACTCGAAAATATTAAAACATGCATTTTCAAAATTATTTATGTATGTATTTGCCAGGCAAGGGGGGCGTTAAATTAAAGTTGAGCCGTGCTTTTAATAGCCGACTGATATTTTTAGGTTATTCAGTTCTCGATACCAATGTTTGGTTTACGTTTCCGAGCTTTTAAACAGCATAAAAAAATTTTCAATATAATTGGTCAAAATTTCAATTTGTCAACTGTTTGGCACCGCTTACGCGACTATAGCCGAATTAATTATATCGCGTCATTCCTCCCTTTTTTGCGCTGTTTAGCGCCAGTTGGAAATATCAAGTGAGGCCAGGTCACTCTCCACCGGATCCTACCAACGTAGTAGAGGTCTTCCTCTGCGTTCACCGGCGGGTACTGCATCGAATACTTTCAAAGCTGGAGTATTTTCATTCGTGCGGACAACATTACTTAGCCAGCGTAGCCGCTATCTCTTCATTCGCTGAACTCGCTATGTCAGTATCATCGTATAGCTCGTACAGCTCTTCATTCCATCGTCTACTGTATTCGTCGTTGCCAATGCGCAAAACTTTCTCTCGAAGACTCCTAGAGCCAGATCATCAGATGTTGACATAGCCCATCCTTCTGCGCTATATAGCAAGACGGGAATGATAAGCGACTTGTAGAGTTTGGTTTTCGTTCGCCCGGAGAAGACTTTAATTTTCAATTGCTTACTCAGTCCAAAGTAGCACCTTTTGGCAACAGTGATTCTGAGTTGGTTTTCAAGACTGACATTATTATTTGTGTTGATGCTGGTTCATAGGTAGACAAAATTCTCTACAAACTCGAAGTTATGACTGTCAACAGCGAAGAGGGAGCCAGGTCAGGCCAATTCTGACTGCGCTTCTGGTGTTGTCTAGCATCAGTTTACACAGCCTTATAAGTTTTGCGGGGATACCGAGTTCAGACATAGCGACGAATAGGAATTTGGGCCATACTGATAAGGTCCAATCAGTTCGTTGACGGTGGGCTTTGGTCTTTCATACAAATAATACGATGGTAGAACTGACAAATTTGCAGAAATTTATAGAAATTACCATAATGTACAAA